ACACACACACACACACACACACACACACACACACACACACACACACACACACTTTATCTCAGTAGTTAGATTGCTCTGTATTTACCTGTAATGCATTAAACCAGGAAACCGCCTCTTTCTCTCGCTCCTCTTTCTCCTCTGTGATTTGCTCCAGGTGACGCTGCAGACTGCTATTGGTGAGCTCCAGCTGCTGTTCTCTGTACTGACATTCCTGCAGAGTCTGTTCCAACTCCACCTGGTACACAAAGAAAATCCGCTTATTTCCTAGTGCAACTCCAACCAGGGGTAAAAAAAAAAAAAATGACTGTACCATTCGGAAAGAGGTACAGGTAGGCTGTTTTCAGACATTGGGTCCAGACCAGAGGTCGCCTTTCACACATAAACAATGCAGCAGGAGATTCTCTGATTACCCAGAGTTCAGTGCATGTCTGAAAGCTGCTTTATACAGGAAGTGGCAGCAGCAGCCAGACTGCCTCCCCTCACCTTAATGGTCTCCAGCTCCATGATCTTCATCTGCACCTCCATCATCTCAGATGTCATGGAGCTCTGGGTGTTTTCATTCAGAGCTTGCAGCTCTTCCATTTTGTTATTCAGAGTCTCAGTCTGCACTTCAAGTTTGTGTTTGAGTTGTCTCTCATTTAGCTGGGATTCCTCCAGAGCAGACTGCAACCTCAGTGTCTGGAAAAAGTACACAGATACATCAAGTTCTTTAGGCAATTAACTTCATATGTTTCTGAGGTACTGAATACACACACAACCATGTATTAGTTATTGACTCTGCCAATTTATTACAAAATGTTTTAGTCTTGAGATTACATAGATGTATCTTACTTTTAGAAAAGGACAGAGAGAAAAGAAACTGTCCTTAAAAAAGGGATCTTGCTTAATGATTCAAGTTCTTACATTTTTCCATTGGATTTGAATTGGGGTTGGGTAATCTTCTCCATAATCTAATTGTTCTATCACCAGCCTGTGAATGATCTGGTACCCAATATGATCCCTGTTTTCCACCCAAATCTGAATAATGCAACTACACAGTTGTATATAAACAACTCTCTAAGTGAAGTTACGGCCTACAGAGATGATCAGAAAGACAACTCCAAAGACCTCATGGTCATTGTGTTGCAATTACATGCCAAAACAGTTTTCAAATTTCATCTCCGAACTACAAGCTTTAATATTAAAATGTTTGATACATGACCAATGCAGTAAATGCGACTAAAACAATGTGACACTAATGTTACTCAAAGCGGCATTTGTTAATCGGTCAATCTGGCGTGTAGAAAAAAAAAAAGGGTGATAGTTAATTGAGCATCCTGAAGCTGAAGGCCACAACTTACACAGCTCCTACACAGATCTCTGTTTATACAAATGAAGACGGTAAAAAGCTGCAGAACTGCAGGGTTGGTGGTAATTCACTGTACATTTGGAAATCAAAACCATGTGAAGGTCATTCTGAGAGGACATGACAGAATAACAAGAATCAAACATTAAATGATATTAAGTGGTGGTACAGCCAGCTACATTAACGTTGTCTAGACAAACAGACCACACTAGGTTAGTGTACCTTGTTGTTGAGCTCACTGAGCGCCATGCTGTGGCTCCTCTCCAGATGCTGCTGCTGTTCCTGAAGCTGCTGTCTCTGCTGGTTCTTTACACATTCATAGTCTGACTTCAGTGACTCCAGCATTCGATTCTTCAACGCCACTTCCTTCTGCAAGGAGTACTTGTTCTGCTCAAGGGCCTATGATACACACGACACAAGGTCAGATATAGGGTCAATTCCCAAACAGAACAATATGCTTTGCAACTATTTTGTCTTGAAGGAATAGTACTTCTAATGACTGCTGGCATTCAGTTTGTTCTGAAGAAGTGGATAATATCTAAGACCTGGAAACATCTAACTGAACTTAACTGCACAAGTATGTAACAATAGCGGTAGAAGAAAGAAATGTGGGTTTATTGTGATTTACGTCACCTCAGTGGAGTGTCATACCTCAAGTGCGTTGGTCATCTCTACTCTCTGTTCATCCAGTGTGTTCTGCAGTTCCATCTGCTGCTTAAGAAGATCTAATCCAGCCTGAGCAGCCTGATGGACCTGCTCGTCCCTCTCCTTCAGCTGGTTCCTGAGCAACTCTAACTCCTCTGCTGCTGCCATCTGCAGTCGGGGGGGAAATGGATGATCATGATCACATTTAGAACTCTGTGCCCCAACATCCAACTGCTCTTGGGTGACATTCATTGTGTGACAACACAGGGACCAAGAGCTTATCACTGTCATCATGTTTACACATTTGAATCATGATATCCTCCAGGTTAAAGAGAGTGTGGCTGCAATAAGCCCGATTCAAATAAAGCAGGGTTTCCTGATTCGGTTGTGTGTGGTAATGTGCAATGAGCTGTACGCAGCTGGACTGAAGAGAAATCCCCACAATGATGACATTGTTTCACAGTACTGTGATTTGACCTTGACGGGACAAGACAAGACTGGCTGACTGATGCTCCCGGTCATGTTCCCAAGTAGTTGTTGAAGGAGCCGGAGCGGAGGCTCCTCTACAACATATTAGACATTGTTCTTTACAGACAACAATTCTTTAACCTTCACCTGTTACCTTGTGCCCTAACTAGAGGACGAACCAGCAACACTAACGAAAAGTACCATTAACTTAACTCGTTCAACCGTACTTGTCCTTTGATTCACATTTAAAACAAATTTCATTGTCTTTTTTCACCATCATAAAATGCAAAATCAGGCACAAATTTCTTCAATGTATCGTTAATGGATTTCCCCCCAAACACTCAAACACTCATTGACGTCAGCACTGATGTTGAAAATCATTTTCTGTCTGACTCAAACTTAGACATTTCAGTGTTTCTTCTTTAAAAAAAATCTGTTGGCAGACCACTGTGGCCTATGGTCACCTGACTGTGTCACCTGCAAGGATTTACTTGTCTTTCTTCTCTCATCATTATTTTCTCTACCAGTTAACAACATTTTCTTTTGGAGCTCATCACCGGTGACTGATGGATTTATTGGCTGTTTGATGGATTCTGTCTGGAGACGCTTGTCATGAACTGATTTTCTCTGTGGCAGCAGAACGTGTGACAACTGGACTAACAGTTGGGATTCTTTGAAACCGAAAAAGAATGGAAAAGCCCTATTGTAATATTAATATTTGTCAGCAGTATATCTTGTCTCACTTGTGATTTTTGTATTTGTACATATATATATATATGTACATTTAGATTGAATTAGCCCAGTGTTTCATTGTGGTTGTTGCTGTGTTGGTTTGGATTTGTATTTTGCAATAAAAAAATAAATATATTGAAAATGTAAAGACTCAACACACATTCGCTTAGCAACAACAAGGCTACAAACAACCCACAATGCAACACTCCGTAAAAAGACTGCCGTGACTTACACGGCCAGTCGCTCCATTCAAAAAGAACACATGTTGTAACTAATAAATACAAAGTTGTCTCTGAAATAAATATTTAAACCCAAGTTTCAACACTGCTGTGTTCCACCTGCAGCCAGTAGAGAACAGATGTGAGCACCAGAAACAAACCGACGGACTGAACCAACTGATGGTTCCTGTCTGACTCCACCAACCCGACCTCCGTGGACTATCATGGCGCAGGAGCTTGTTTCATCACAGAGGACGTTCACGCTCCCATTTCCATCGGGGCGAGTGTGTAACAACAACAAGGAAGTGCTAACAGTTACCAAGGTTAAAAATCAGACATAACTCAACGACATACGTGGACATATTTACCTTGTCAGTGAACGATCCCGTGTCAACACCACGAAGCGCCACGGTTTGAATCCACATCTAAGTCTCGCGACACGAGGCTGCCCGAACGAGAGTTGTGCCTGATTGGCCAGACGGGTCCAGCTCAGCCAATGAAAAGCCAGGGCTGGGAGTGTTGGCTCCTCACTGGTCAAACAGCGGCCTCCAGTGGAGCCAGCCAGAGCTTCCCTCAACATGACATCTGGAACCAGGGGCTTTCTAAATGATATACCAGTCATGCTGCTGCTGGAGGTCCACACACCGCTGGGTGTTGTTTTCCATTTCTCATTTCATCTTTTTCTTTCATTGCAAAATAGTACCGCCTAATATATTGATGTTCACTCTCATGGAAAACAAAACAGACTTGAGGCAAAGATGGATTCTGATGTACGTCCATGGAAAGTGGACTTTCAAATCACGCTAGATGTGGTGAATGTGGCTGCTCTCGACTTTGTTGCAGTGTTGTGGTTACATTCTAAGCCTTATTAAAAGTGGTGACTGTGTTTTTGGAGCAGATACAACTGACCATCATTTGTGGACAATCTACACTGCAGTGGTGTAATGCCATGTTTGCAGTGTGTTTACAGATTCACACTAAAAACACAGTCAGCTCTGTGTATAGCAAATTCTTATGCTACACAAATTTTTCCAATCACTTCAGTTTAATCAAACCTTCATTACATTCAGTTTCAATGTATTACACTCTACCCAAATTTCCATATACTTCACACAAGATTAATGTAAGATTTTTTACTAAACATGAACATCAGAATATCAGGGTTCATTCACCAGCCTCGTGTCATGCTCACATCACATTCACTCACAAACAGTACAAATCCCCTGGTGGTCAATGGATGATTTTCCTGTAACAATGTTACAATGTAAAACAAATAGTGTTAATATTGTCATTTGTGAGGACTCATACATCAAGAACAAGCAGATTTCTCTTATATTACAGTCAACACGTTGTTCCTTTTTAAGCTGCAGCAATGGAGGCATCATCCAGCTGTCGACCCTGAGGCTGAGGAGAAACAAAGAGGAAATTATCTTTACGTTCACAAAACGAGGACCGAGGTGCTATCTCAGTGGCGTGTGTCTGTTACCTTGACAAAGATGCGTTGAGGCAAGAAGCGTCTCAGTGTGTGTGTGTTGGTCGTCGGGCAGCGGGGTAGGCTGATGTTGAGCTGGGGCAGTGTTTGGTAACCAGCCATCAGAGGGTAGTAATTATACAGCATCTGCTGCTCAGAGCCAGGGAGGATACGGAGACGCACCTGCACACACACATATTCAAACTCACATGAATGCATCTTCTTTTTCATGCAGTCGTTACTCAAATACATACATCCAATTTTCACAGGGTGACCAAATGCTGCGTCAGTTAAAAAGTCATAGTATGTGCTTCTCAAAAGTGAACACATCCTCTCTACATAATATGTATAAACAGATTAAAGTATACGAATAAATATAACTACATATTTTACTCAGAACAAATGTATCAGTTTGCCTGTTTGTTTGGGCTTTTTCAATCTGAAAGCTGTGGATCAAAAGTTGGTCCCGGTTGGGACCACTGCTAGATTACTTGGTTACCATGTCAAACCACTTGTGCATCAGTTCACAGGCTCAGAAAGATTTTTCTGATCCACCCTAATTTAGTAGCACCTCACTAAAAGTCTGTGAAACATTTACTATTCCCCTGTTATACAACTGAAGAAAACATCTCACTGTCTCGTTATGATTCATGAAAATTTGGTTTGGTTGTTTCTTCATGAGCTGACCTTTTAAAATCCATATTTAAAGAAAGCACAGCCTTACCTGTTTGAGTCCAGAGAACATGAAGGCATCCGAAGGTTCGACAGCCATCTCCACCTCCTGCACCAGACCTGTTCTGTTCTCTATGTGGTAACGAACTGGTAGAGACTCTCTGACTCGGCCAAATGATGGTAAATCTAAACCAAAATGAAACAAGACATACAATATAACTGACATTTACAGAGTATGACAAATGTGTCATTCCCTGAACTGGGAATATACTGACCAGCATGGATGTAGAGAGGGACAGACTCCAGGATGACATGAGGTAGAGTGACTGTTGTCTGGATGAGAGGACTGTCTGCACTGGAGGGTTTCCTGTCCAAACACAGTCAAAACAGAGTTAACAAACCAACCTGACGCGCATGTGTGTGTGTGTGTGTGTGTGTGTGTGTGTGTGTGTGTGTGTGTGTGTGTGTGTGTGTGTGTGAGAGAGAGAGACCTGGTATTAACATCCCTCCTGAGTAATCTGATCACAAGTGGTCAGCACTAAGTACAGGTCTGAACACGCCCAAATGCTTTTTTAATGTGTCCTGAGATCCGGTCTCTCAAACCATATTTGGAGGTGATCTGCACCACATTTGAAGGACCCATTTAAGTTTAAATGTAGCCACCGTCACAATATCAACACTGACCTCTACATAATGATTGATACTTTTCATAAGTTAGTAAAATCTTTCTTTATAGCTGCGCACATTCTTTCATTCAGTGCCTCCTGACCACGCTCGCTCTTTCTTTCTCACTCTGACACACACACACACACATGCACATTGTCATCTGACACTTCTGTAAAGTCGGACTGGGTAAGACAACATCATTTTGGTCTTTTTAAACACAAATGACACTCAGGATTATTTGCATATAGAGCAGGGAAATGAGATCCAATCAAAAGTATTCACTAGAGACACATGCAGGTCCATTTTAATGCCAGATGTGAACACATGCACTCGTGATTGGATCTGTTATGACATATTTTAAGACCAGGGACTTTAATTGGGCACTGCTTGTCCTGTTTGAGAAACAAGATGCATCCTAAACTGTGAAAAAGCAGATTTTCAGGTCTATGGTTATGGATAGGGTTGGGCCAAGTGTCCAGGAAATTAATACAAGTCCATGTAATATCCCCATGTGAGTCTGTGTGCCTACCTCCTCCATGATATCAAGTACTGTCCTGTAGCCACCGTGTTACTGCTGTTGGTCAATGGTGGACAGCGGAGACAGAAGCACTCACTGGCACACTCACCTTCCTGCAAAACCACTGCACGCGCACATAGAACGTTACAGCCATGAGATGTACATACCAACATTTGTTTATTGGAATAAATAATAACAGCTAAGAATGTAAAAGTCTCTGGAGGAGAATTTTGACAAGTTGTCAGGTACCTTCCTGTAGCTGTGACTGAAGCTCTGGTGTGTTGCTGGTCATAGTAAGGAGCTGTAGAGAGGAGGAGGCCAACAGAAGAGGCCAGGGAGATGAGGAAAGGATGTCTGTCATCAACAGGAAGGGAATGTCAACTGCTACACGGTCCAATGGCTCAAACTGCAATCACACAATTCAATTCAATTTTATTTGTATAATGCCAAATCATATAATTATATAATATGATCAGTATACATTGTCTCAAGGCACTTTATGTTGAGGGCCGAGACCTTAAAAATTAAGAGAAACAGTTCCCACAATGAGCAGCACTTTGGCGACTATGGAGGGGAAAAAAAAACTGGAAGCAGAATAACTGTGCAGCATGTTTGTTCAGAACTCATCTGATCCAGCCCTCACTATAAACTTTATCAACGTATTAAGTCTGACATTTAACATTATTTCCTAAGAAATCTTGCAATGTAAAGTAAAGTGATTAAAATATCAATTAATTATTACTGGATACACAACAAGAATTTCACAGGTTCCTACATGGCTCAGGTTAGGGCTGCACGATATTAGGAAAACATGCGATAACATTGTTTAATATTGGGATGACGATATGACTTGCAATAAATAAACATAAACAGTCCCTGGCTACCTGACAACGGAGAGCTCTACAGCTGGGAGAAGGCACAAAGCCCGGCTGCTGTGCCACCGGGTCCTGGGCATGGGAGCCATGCACAGCTCCACTAACTCCATTTACAGTGTTAATTTGGGGTCTTTTCATGTTTGGACCGTGAGAAGTTATTTTTAGCCGCTCTGTCAGTAATTGACTGCTCCTCTCTGTCTCCAACATTCGTGCCCTCCGCTGTGTCATCTGTGTTAAACCGTTTCAAGTGCACCGACATCTCCTCCAGCTCTATACATTTACAGCATTAGCATGATAGCTTTTTTATCTTATTTTTCTGTATTTTCACATAATATCATATCGCACCCCCCCCTCTTTGAAGACACATGAGGCACTTGATCGAACTCGCATATAGCAGCGATGTTACTGAATTTAACTGCTCCTCTCATAACTAAGTATCCTGACAGGGTTGTCTACAGACCACTGCAAACTGAAGCTGTGTGCTTTTGATACATACGTGAAATAATGCAAAGCATCCAAGCTTTTCAATTTCAAATGTCATTGATTCACCTGCATCAGCACAGATGTTATTGGGATATTATAGGTTTGTCACTTTAGTAACTGCAAACAATAGCATTGGTTTATTTAAGATCTCTACAATGTTATTACAATGACATCCTCACAAAACTTTTTGTCTTGTCTGTTTACATCGACGACTACTGATGACCTGTCAGGGTTTCGCGATGACTAATGATGATGTAAAGCTTCTTAAAGTGCTGTCCCAATTCTTAAGGGAAGATTTCAACGACTACCCCTCGTGACTCCGTTTCAGAGGGGGTAGGGCCAAGGGGTGAAATGGGATTGGGCCTTACACAGGGGACACACCGGAGGCGTAAGTGCTGCGAAGAGTCCAAGTGCTGTTTTACACTGGAAACACAATTCTCAGCCCGCGATTCTGCTTCTTCTGCTACTTTGTAATCACACATATAGTATGTAGGGATTCGGGGGTAAATGATAAGGATCTTCACAAGTGACTTATCAACGCAAGCCTAACCTGAAAACATAATGCCTCTGGATACTGGCTGTCGCCGGTGCACAGGCATAAATACCTAATTTATTTAAACACTTGAGTTGCTAATAATTGATAGTGCTACACACCTTGGTGGATACAAACTTGACAGACACTTCGAATGGGACCACAGTCTCTATGGTAACAGTCTCATCCTGAAAGACAACAAAAAAATGAAGTAGTCAGTATCTAAAATTTAAAAA